GTATGCGCGTGGTATCGTAAAAATGGAAACGTTAACTGAAATATTATCTTCTCTATGTGTAATAAAACCATCTGCCTAATCTATCAGGTCGAAGGCATAATAAAAAATATGGCAGCAAATACTAGGGAGAGTCGACCAACAACCTCCCCTGAGAGAATGCTTATGCTTATGGGAGCGTCATGAAGTACTAGGTTGGTAGCCATGAGCTAAATGGTATTTATTTAACGTGTAAAAGACAGTCTTTTGTAGCAAATACTCTTCTAAGGGAGTGGTGAACATCTGCCCTCCCTCGTTGGTGAATATACCTATATGTATTCTATGGGATGCATAGGATAAAACCTGTGTGTTACCGGTGTGCATGCAATGTATATTTACTCACAGGATAGATATACCTGTATGCATACCAAGGAATATTCGTACGAAATTCTGTGTTACCCAGTATGCATATAGAGTATAACTATCCAGGATAAGTAAATACTTCACAAAATCCTTAACTTTCTCTTTCTCCCCACAAAATCACATCTACACAGTGGGTTTGTGAGCCTTGAGAAACACGGGATCCATTCTACAAGAACCTACATAGGGTCCATAGGAGGAAGCTTTATCAACCAATCTGACTTGAACACATACATTTCGTCCTTTTTACATTGCATATTTCCCTTTAAGGTTATATTTTTCTAAAATATGATAAAATGTCTAAAGCATTTATTGTCTTTTCAATGGTTGAGATCATGAGTTATTTGAAGCTAGACCACCATAGAAAACCTAGAAGCACTGGACGGCCCTTTCGTCCTATTGTGGGACTGCTGAGCAGTGCGTATCCACGATCCCGCCTCGCGAGATTCGAACCATTTTCTACCAAATAAAATTTTTATCAAGTTAGAATAGTTTGTTTAACTTATTAAGAAAATTTAAAATGGTGTATTATTTTAACATTATTGAAATTAAATCTTTCCAATTGCTAACCGGCCTAAGTTAGCCATTTATTGGAAAGCAGGAAGTGCTAAATAGCGGTTTAGTCCTAGTATGAGAACCTTCATATACAACCCTACCACAAAGAGTCGAACTCAGCATTTCTGGTTTCGTAAATTAGCACTTGAACTCCAGATCACTGACCTAGGATCTACTGGTGCACATACCTAACTCCAATCAGTTTACGACATTCTATGACAATTTTACATCGTCTTCAATGAACAACTCTCTCAGACCCAACGCTTTCAAATTCCACTGGTTACGACTTAAAAGATTATTTAGTCTTTATCATTCATACTTAACCTAGTATTACTTGTAACAATCTTAATACTTAATATTCCCCTGATAATTTTTCTACTGTCTTACAATTGAAAATTAGTCACTGTTTGCATTGAGATGGTAGTACAAGAAATCTGTGCATGAATCCATTTGTAGTATCACTTCATATTGGATTTATCATCGTTTTGAAATCATTCGTAATCGATAGAAAGAACACAAGATTTATGGTGAATAAAAATGTATGTTTCTGATGAATTGTTCATTGAATATTTCATCTAAATATTCTTCACCTCTAATTATAACCAGAAACTTGTTCATGATTTATACAAAATAATATCGTGATTCGAATTCTTTGACGAGTTATTAGTAACATCTATCAGTCACTACTCAACAACAGCCTACTGTGGGAGAGAATAAACAAGCTTCCAACTAAAGGAGAAACTAGGAAAAGACGTTAGAAGTGGATAGAACATACATTTCGGAAATTAAATTGAATCACGAGGCAACCGCTTACTTGGAATCCTGAAGGAAAATAGAAAAGAGGAAGGCGAAAGAACATACTACGTCTGGAATTGTAAATAGGTATTGAAAAGAATGAATATCAATTGGAAAGAATTGTCCAGGACAGAGTATATGTATGAACTAATATATAAATGAGTGTATTTCCGACTAAACTTGTCGTGGTTGTTCGTATATCTGATGCTTGTGGAATATATATTTCCCTCTTTTGAACTCAAACTTCACTCTCTAGTTAGCTAGGCTGGGACGCGTTGAAATCGATGACTTACCTTTCATTGTGTCATAGAGTTTTTATTCCATTCTCAAATTAGTTGAACTCATAATCTCTTCAAACATACAAATGAAAAATGCGGATGAACAGCTTATGCTCTTCAACGAGAAGTAACTGACGAAAGTAAGTAGGTAATCTTATTTACTACCAATTATGCAACAACTCAATATCTCCGATCATATACCAATCAATTTAAAATTCATAATTGTATTATTTCATTTATTTTAAATGTATTAACAAAGTTTAAATAATAAATTCTTATAGTTTGAAACAGATCTTTCCCCTTCCCCTCCCCCATACCCTTCCCCCTTCCCCCCCAGTTTATCAGTTTCAACCTTACCGGTTGACGATTGATGTTATATTATTTTATTTCTCTTTTTTTAACAAAAAGAAGCAAACGCAGAGACAAAATCTAATTGGAATAACTTGAAGCATAACAAAAAAAAGAGGAAAAAATTGAGAGAAAAATCCATAAAAGAAAAATATACTTTGTAAAAATCAAAAAAAATTTGTTCTTTTTTTTCTTTTTTTTCAAAAAATTTTTCTCTTTAAAATAAATCGAAGGATCTACTGAATCTAATTTGGTCCTTCTAAGAAAAAAATCGATTTTTTTAAAAATTTTAATGTTCCTCAAATCATCAAGCTGTTTGTTGATAAGAGTACAAAACTGCCGAAGGGGGGGGAAGGGAAGGAAGGTGGTAATCATGTATAACTTAATTTTCACTTGATTCTTATTTGTTCATAACCCAGGAAATATGAATCTAATCCTTATTGGTCATTGATCTAGTTGGTGTTGTTTGTAATGAATCGTTGTACCATAAGGTGAATCCTTATTTTATATGTTAACCAATCATTGTAAGATGAACCCATTAGATTTGTGCTAAAATCTGTATTAAAATGAAAAATAGAAACAATAACAGAATAACGAATAAGTTTCAAATAAAAAATAAAAGAATCATAAACTACACATACAAAATGATTCATGATATTCTATTATTAAATCGGTGCTGTAAACTCGAGAGGTGCCTAACTGATTCTACGATGACTGACTTCCACAATAGATTTCATGAGTCGATCAAAGCTAGACCAACATTGAAAACCTTGAAGTACTGGAAGGTCGTTTCGTCCCAATGTGAGACTCATCAATGGGGGAGAATCCACATTCCCACATGTGGGACTCGAAATCAGGACATTTGGTCTCACGTGCAGACTCTTAACCTGTAAACTACTAAGTTGGCATGTCTAATATTAATCAATCTATGATCTTGCTCAACTCTGCATCCATTACCTGAGGTGGATAATTGTGACCTCACTTGTCACGGCTTCTCACTGGAACTCCAGGAAATCCATCTTGAAGCTAGTAAATAGTGAGCACATCATTATTATCCATATGGAAACTAATAAATTCAGTTGTGAAAATACTACAATCTCCACATATCCGCATACTAATAATGACTGATTTATTAATGTTAACTAACTTTCAGTTTTAAACTATGATAAATTATCATTAGTGAGTGTTTGTAATTTCCTATTCTCAATAATCATAACTGTTATTGAGCAATCACTGTTCTCATACATGGGTTGAATTGTAATCGTCAATAAGAACAAAAGAACATTACAAATCATCATCAGATATTTACATATGCGTTGAATAACTTAGTGAATATCTGAAGCATTAGTTTAACGGATAATGTATTCACCGTTTGAAACTAAAGGTATTACGTTCATTCAACTGATAGATCACTAATAGGATGAATCGTACATCTTGTATTCGATGACTATGTACATATCAACCATATTAGAATATCATTGTTTTAACTAATGTCAATCAGAATTCAACAAACTTAATATGGGTTTAAATCACAGATGGTAATCGAATTTATCAACTTATTGTTAAGACAAGATGGACATAATCATAATTATAGTGCCCGCATTATCATCCGTCTGCTTTAAATTTTGTTTGTAAGTTACGTAATCCAAGTTTATTTTACCAGCTTATACGAGATAAGAGATTTTTACACCAGTATACAATCACCATTTTCCTTTTTGTTTAGATGATGACATTTATATTATTGGAAATGAATGTCAGTTAAGCTGCTGAAGTCATTAATGATCTATTAAATCAATGATGGTCTAACTTAGATCGACTCGTGATTTCAACTGGGAAAATGCAACAATCTTCACAAATCCTCATGCTGATAATGCTAGTTAGACCATCATTGAAAACCTAAGCGATCATCTCAGCCTAGTATGGGACTCCTTGGCAGTGTGCATCCATGACCTCATATCCGGGAACTAAATCCAGAACCTTAAGCTTTGTGTATAAATGCTTAAAATTAAGACCAATGAACTCGTTTAACCACTTCATAATATTTTATAGTAATCTTTCATTGTCTTTTATAAGTACCTGCTTCATATTATATTTGATTGAACTTTACTAATCACAGCTTAGAAATTTTCCCTGGTGGTTCGAAAACCATGGTAATTCTATAATCTCTACAATAATTTATGTCATAACCATTCCTGTCTAAATTACTAATTATTTTCATTGATATATTTTCACATCAAACTGTTCATTTACCACATTAATTATCATAGGTGGTCGACACGTGACCAACATGTGAACAATAATCCACAGTTCCACTTTGAGACATTTCAATGGAGGGGGTAGAATCAAAAATAGGTGTAAAATCTATTAGATTCGAATTAGAGGATAAACTTATTTCATAAAATAAAAAGAAAAATTCGGAAAACTCAAGTCTTTGTACTTGTTCTCTCCCTCTCCCTCCCTCCCTCTCTCTTGTCAAGGTGATAAAGGGAACTATGTATATAAAATTCGAAAAAAAAGATACCCCCCCTAATTTGTAACTAAGTGAATTTAATGAGTAATATGTAAGGGGTAACAATAGATTAACTTACCTTTTATTTAACTCAATAATCAAATAAATAGACTTTATATTCATGTTCCATTTAGTTTATGCATATAATTATCATCATTTAATAACCATTGAAGATGAGAAACATTATTGTATAAATTTAAAGTCGATTGATTTTTAAATGATAAATTAGATGAATTAATCACTGATGAATTTGATAATGATGAAATCGGGGTTGTTGGCATATATCCAACATTATACCATGTTGATAATGAATAATGATTATTGATTTTTGATAATAATTCAACTTGAGATTTAGAACTATCATAACCGGAATCATTTGAGAATTCAGTGAATGATGAAGTAGAATTAGATAATAGATGTTTTCCAGTCTATCGTCATGTCTAATAGGATTTAGTATATTGTATGGAGTTGAGTCAATTATTGGTGTCGATGTTATTTCCTTAATATCATTGTGATTATTATTATTAATAACATTATTAGTATTACTATTAGTATTAATATTTTGGTCCCAATGAGTCGGAAATATCGGTGACAGGTATAATTGATTTACTGATCTTCTTTCTTGAATAGATATGTCTCCGTATGGTGACATAACCTTCTCGAAAGATGAACAGGAGGCCCCTGATCTTGCTTCGTTGCGATTGATTTCAAATAGTCCAGCTGATTTAGGTAGTGATGATGATATAAATGAGTTAGTTTGTTTGATCTTATTATTTGTACATGTTGCACCTTTATCAGTATAATCTGTTGACTGATTAATCAAATTAGAACATGAATTTTCCTGCCCATGTAATACTTTATCCAAATGTTCAATATACCATATTGCTTTTTTCAAAGTTGATATTTTACTTAATTGTTCACCGGAACGACATGGAACTACAGCTCGAAGACGATCAAATCCCATATTCAATAATTTTACACGATTTCTTTCTCTTTCATTACGTCGAGTTATATTCATTGAATCTATATTCCCATAAGATGATGATGATGATGATGCCGAACATGTTTTCAATCTTTTATTAAGAGATCTATCAAATTTAATAGGACATTCAATTTCTGATCCTGTATAGGTATTCGACAAATTTGCTAAAGGTTTACGTAACTTTTGATTATTCAGTTTATTTACTGATTTATTCCAATTCTGTAAATTGTTATTCTCATTCGATTGTAATTGAGCACATCTCTTATTATAAGTTCTTTTCATAGTTCCAATTTGTTGTTGACTTTCAGACATTAGAATAACTTTCGTTTTATTCAATTGTATAAAACAAAATATAACATGGACAGTAATCACAATCAATATCAGCTGGGAATTATATTGAAATACAATCGCGTCAAAAGCAAGCTCAGAGACCTGATCACTTTTGAGTAAGTTTCCCTATTTATACTATATTTTAGCCAATCTATCCACCCCCTCCATTCCCTTAAACGGCCACATTTTTTTTCTTATAATCTTTGAGAATATAATATACAATAATAATAAAAAGACGCGTGTCAATGCTTTCATAGACAAAATCTTGCAATTTCATTGGTTACTCAAAGTCATATAGATAACACGTGGTAGATCACTCGTGCGCTTATATTAACCAATCAGCATACGTTAAATTATTAACCAATCAGATTGCAATATACGAAATGATCGGTAAAATATTTTCACTGATTGTAATCATGAGTCAATTGAAGTTAGACCACCATGGAAAACCTGGAAACACTGGACGGCCGTTTCGTCCCCGTATAAGACTCTTCATCAGTACGCATCCACGATAATATATTAGATAATTCACTTATGGTGGTCTAGCTTCAATTGACTCATGATTTCAATCAGTGAAATTTCTAAAATCTCCACAAAACCCCTTCTGATAATAATCATCTGCTCACTATTGACTGACTTCAAGAGATACTCCTGGAGTTCTAGTGAGAAGCCGTGACCAGTGGAATTCAACCAGGTCTGTTGTGAGATATCAGCTCACTGAAGACAATGGTGTACGGTGGTGCAACTTCGTGGATTGGTTGAAGTTAGACGTAACACCATTGGGTGCCGGCTCAGTGGTCTAGAAGTTAAGTGCCTGGGGCGATACTGATAGGTCCTGGGTTCGAATCTCGCGGGGTGCGGGCCCGTGGGTACGCACTGCTGAGGTGTCCCACACTAGGACGAAACGGCCGTCCAGTGCTTCCAGGTTTTCCGTGGTGGTCTAGCTTTAATTGACTCATGATTTCAATCAGTGAAAATATTTCCATTGAAGGTTTTTCACTTAATAGAACTATGAATGAAAAGATTAAAATTACACCTTAATGCTTTCGTATAGGCTTCATGCAATTAAGTTGATATGCTGTGAAGTAAGAAATAAGGATTAGACTTAAACATCAGTGTCCGTTTTTTTATTTTTATATAATAATAATCATTCTGTACATTGTTATTTCTCTTCGGAAACTCAAATCCATGGTTCCACCTAGATATTCTTCACAAAAAGGTGTTTCCTAATAGCTTTAATTACTATAAGAGGTTTTTGGTGGGACTGTTGAATTTCATAGTTTACTTAATTTCTTGAGATTGAGTAGATAACCGCTGAAAACTAAGAGGTGATCAACAGTTGCTTCGTCCCAATTTGAGAATTATTCACAATCCACCGCATGTGACTGAACCCAAAACCTTCAGGGCTCGAGGTGATCTCTTAAACTTCCGGCCACTCAATCGTTGATGGACATCATTGAGAAACGTCATACTAGAATGAAGCTGATGTCCAGTGCTTCCTAATTTTCAACTTGTGTTTATCCACAGTTGGTTAGTGATATTCACTACTAATATTTTAAAAGAAATAGTCAAATCTTGAACCACTGGCTAGTAACCCTTTTTAACTTACTAAAATACCTATTTTGTTGAAGATCATGCTACAGATTCGAAAAAATTAAGCTTATAAATTTTCAAACAGCATAATATTTCATTCTTGTGTTGGTTGTTTGAATCTTCCCATTGATGTTTAGATCTGCGATTGGTCAGTCTCTTATTCGCATATGTGCATCCTATGTGGATTATCTCGGTATTGTCTTGAGTCACAAACATTCTAAGCAAAGATGGATAGTGGCTAGTAGTAGAATCTCGAACGCGCGTTTCTTCCTATTTGAGACTCGTCAACTGGATGAACCTTCACCCTAGAGTTGATGTTCACTCCGGGACTCGAACACAGCACCACTTACTTCAAACGTCATTGTGTTAGCTAATGAGTCCTGATAGCCACCATAACTTGATAGATTCAATATCCAGTGACATTATGTAATTTTGGAAAGTTACTATTCACTTGCACAATATATTCTATGTGTTTCTATTTTTCAGCACTGGTTCCACACGGGATTACTCATCCATGATATCAGGATAGAATATGTTCATACTACTTTATCATAGTAAAGAATGACATTTTACCGCGTAGTTAATTCACGGTCTTCATTGAAACCTACAAAATATTCAGTTTACTGAGACCATATAAATATTTATATGTGTTGTTTATCATATATGAGACAGTGTTTTAATCGTATCTTATGTAAACTAGATGAAGCCAATGTTGAAATCATAAGAATATGGTTTAAAATCAGTCAGTTGTTAGAAATGTTAACAATTTGTTCAGTAAAATAGAATAAACCAATGTTTTCTTTTAGTCAAGGAATGCAGTGATTACATATAACTAAATGTCAATATGGAGTAGTGGAGATGGTTAAGTTTTGGATTGGGATCATGAATCGATCAATGTTAGACCATCACTGAAAAAACTAGAATTAAATATCTACTATTTGTTACTTACTTACTTACGCCTGTTACTCCTAATGGAGCATAGGCTCCCGACCAGCATTCCCCACCTGGAGCCCCTCTTGGTCTACTGCCGGTCCCAAGCCCGGATAAAGGAGGAGGGTTGAGCATGGGGTTAGCGACCCCATCCCGTTGAAAACTAACTCGCTAAAAAAACGCTAACCAGAAAAAGATCTACTATTTGTAACGACATTCTATTGTGGTTTGAATTAATGGCGAAACTCTGGAAGATGTGGAATCTTTCACGTAACCGGGGAGCATCGTCGATGAAAAGGAAGATCTGGTGCAGACGTAAAGGTGAGGATTGGCAAAGCAAGGGCCGAATTCCTACAACTGAAGAGCATATGGGACTCAAAACAACTGCTAACCAATATCAAAGTCAGAATCTTGAATACAAACGTCAAGACAGTTCTTCTGTACGGAGCTGAAACGTGGAGAACTATTACAACCATCACCATAAAGGTACAAGTATTTATAAATAGTTGTCTACGCAAGATACTCAACATCCATAGACCAGATACCATCAGCAACAGCCTACTGTGAGAGAGAACAAACAAGCTTCCAGCTGCAGAGGAAATTAGGAAAAGACTTTGGAAACGCGTAGGACATATATTACAAAAATCACCAAACTGCATCACGAAGCAAGCCCTATCTTGGAATCATGAAGGGAAGTGGAGAAGAGGAAGTCCAAAGAACATATTACGTCGGATAATAGAAGCAGATATGAAGAAGAGGAATAACGACTAGAAAAAGCTGGAAAGAAGTTACCTGGACAGGGTTGGATGGAGAATGCTGGTGTACTGTCTATGTTCCTCCACGAGGAGTCTATTGTGGTTTATAGAAATGAATCAAAATAAGATGTACGATTATTGGTTTATTAATTAAAAATAAATTTTAATTTAGTATATGATACTATTCAAATTTGAAAGAATCAATGAAATCTCATAATAATTGGTAATTAGTAATCTCTTAGACAGACCTATCCAGTAGAGATCTGAATATTTTTATTCCATTAAGGGAGGTGTCATAAACAGACTGTCTCTTTGGATGACTCGAATGTGAAGTTATCAGTCTACTCGCTTTTATGGGCCAATTTACACTGTCATTACAAAGCATACACCTGGCAAGCTCACATTAGAGAACACCTATGGGTAATGGAAGTTAGTCAACAGCTCAGTCCTTGAACATAGTCAACTCTATTCATTTACCTCCATGAGGATCATTATTCAAAATTATCTGTAGCGTCAATATAATCGACTAGAAAAGGGTATGAATTAGAAATATGTGTGCAATTGAATTTTTACGCACAAAAAAGATATGTCCGATCTCTTAACTTTCCAGTTTAGTATCGCTAATTGCTATCTTATTCCTCACCTTCTATGTATTCATCCAGTAGACAATTATCCGAACTGGATCGTGGTTAGCAATGGAATTTACATGTTGTATATTTCAAAAGAAGCTGATTAATTTCAGTCCAAAACATCAGTGTCAAGACTAAAACAACCAATATAAACGAATTAGACAATTATCGGTTATATTTTTTTATATAAAGTGCAGTGTATAAGCAATAAGGTTGATAAAGCCTCATAGGAGAAGTTCATTGGTACTTCTGGAAAGGAGACCGTCAGTTTTCGAGGCGTACAATTATGTTTTCTTGGGGAAATCGTTAGAAACCCCTGGGTATTGGCGCATGAGGGTATCACCTGGGACCGGTATACCTTATAAGTGTACCGGTAACAGGTTTTCACCCATGCTACCCATATGCATACATGCCTCTTGGGTGAGTTGATGGTCATTACTCACTTCATTCGCTTTTACTATACGTTACATGCATGTCAGAGATATATAAGCTTGTGCTCATGTATATCATAACATACATATAAACATAAGGGCTCTTAAGAGAGATATGATTGTCAACACTTCGTTCATTAGTATTTGTTACACCTCATTTTTGACGGACGGCAAATTGTCTACTCTATCTCATTCCAGGCGAACCTGGTGCTCACTAATTGGACAAACATACACAAGCTACATAACCTGGGACTCATGCAACTCGTATATATAAGCATACACAAACGACAACCCTTTACAATTTTAGTACTTCGAATAGTCTAGATTACCGCTTAGTAATAGATTAGTCCAATGTCCATCAACCGCCCAAGTAAGTTCATGATTTTTTCGTATGATCCAGCAGTACCACAAGGTGGCCAAAGGTCGGAATTTGCGGCAAGATGGAGGGGACGCTATTTGATTGTGGATGCTGTCGACTAGATTGGCTAGTGGCTACCCCACTAATCAGTTCAAATCATCTCTCTATTGGTGGCGGAAACACTCTACAAACTGCGCCTAACAACGTCTACAAAACAGTGCTTCCGATTACCCTTATGTTCAATGACAGAAAATCATTGATAACCTTTTTCAGTGAAGTGAAACTT